CGGCCTCATATTTGCTGAAGAAATGTTACCAATTTGATTTTCTGGATGCTTCTGCCACCAGATCTTCGAATAGTACTCCAATTCTTACAGCGTAGCATGCCAACAACATGGTGATTATCGGTTGGAAGCTGTGCGTCTCTCTGTGCGAACATTCATTACCGAGCTTCTTAAGTCAGACGATACGATTATCAAATCGATCATCGACTTCTGTGCACAAGCTAAACGGTACCAGGTATTCTGATGCAATGTTCGATGCTCTAAAAATGTGTTCATAACTGACAGTCCGTTGGTCGCACGAAACCGCAACAGCGTCGTGCCGTTATTGTTGAGGTCGCTAGGGCCGTTTTTCCCAATCACGCCGTTCCACTTTTCAGTGTTTACTGAGACATGCGCATTAAAATCGCCCATGAATATGAGTGTCTCTGTATTCGGCACTTCGTTTAAAACGCACTGCTCATCCTTAAGGAAGGTATCATATTCTCCTTCTGATTTTAGGCATAGAGCTGTACCAAGGTCAGCGCGTTAGATTGCTGTAGCTTCATTCGGAGCATTACCACCGTTGCGCTGATAGGCGCTACGAATCAGTGATTGTTTCTCTGAGGTTGGGTTTTGGTAGAGCATCAACACCGACCGGAGCGCGTGTCGTGATATTGGCACCTGAGTAGAATAGTTTCCACCCGTTGAGATTCAGGATTGCACAGCCTTAATGATTTGTTAACGAGGGTCGAACAGTGTCGAGTTGGTACTTTATAGCCTCATCAAATGACTCTTGCGTTTCCCCTCTTAGTTGGGGTATATTCCAATTTCCGTCTCTAAGCTCCCACAGGCGGCGTCGTTCTCGTGGACCCTTTTCTTGCGTGCTCTAATGGCATCGCGCTGTGTGTCCTGCGTTCAGAAGGGGTAGCGGCTCCGTTGCTGACTTGTATCTTCCTCGTCGTTCCGTCGGTCTTCGTTAGCCGTTGTTGCGCTGTAGGCCCTCGGCCGGCAGAGGGCGATGAGCAGGTTCTGGTCGCCTCAGTCCGCCGATAGGGGCGCGGTCCTCGGTATCCCGGGCGACGACTGATCCGGTGTAATTTTCGATGACATCAGTACCATGACAGGTGGTGAACTTTTGCGGAGATTTCTCCACGGTCTGCAGCCCTCCTCCATGCTCAACCGCGCTTGGGACCGATAAGGCGGAATATTTTTAAAGTGATTGTTTGCTTCGGAACTGCCCTTGTAAATAATGCAAATGACAGCCATAGGAGGACGATCTGAAAGTTTAGTGTCTACATGTTGGTACATCTTACATCTTAGTTGATAGAGACAGTTGTTATGTATGGTTTAATTAGCTTCGTAGATTTCGGCATGATGTTTCCGCCATTTAGTTTTTAGACACGTATGCTATGAGAGATACGGGTTCATATGATGGGAATATTCTTGTTTTATGCTTTGCTTGTTCGTTGCGGAAAGAAGACAATAATCAATCTAGCGAAAAAGTAATGTGCTTTATGCAAAATTCGTACGCTTTTAAAGAAGTTTGGTCTAGGAGAAGGACGCTGTGACTAGATCCATTATTGGATTGAGAACCACTGTATTTTATTTTCTGAAAGGAATATTGATAATCATGTACTTTCAAGAAAACGGAAATAAATACGATTGGATTTGTAATACGGGTTTAGGAAACGTCATTCGTAATGAGGAATTTAGTGTCTTAAACAATAAGGTGATGGAAGAAGCATCTACACACTGAAGGCACAGTATCG